AGGTGCTCCAGCCCATATATGGCAGCAATACTCCATGCAAGGGGCGAATGGTTGTTTTTATATATTTGAAGTATCGAGTCAGGGGAGAAAAATTTCCTGATTACAGTTTTCCTCGCGGTGGAAGAAGCAATTGACTCAATGTATTTGTTCCATCTCAGGTCAGCAATCAGCGTGAGACCAAGCAGACGCAGGGAGTTGCTCTCAGGAAGTTGACTATCAGACATTTTAATGGGGGGCAGGAAGGATCTCTATGGTGGTTAATGGAGAGTAATTTAGTTTTAGTGGCGTTAAAGTTGACCAGCCAATTCTTGCCCCAAACAACTGATTGGAGGTCCATTTCAAGGCCTGTTAGTTTTGTCGCCGACACTAGACTTGTTTTTTGAGGCAGGAGTAAATTGTAGTGTCGTCTGCATAGATGCCGACCTGGGAATTCATAGCTTCAGGAAGGTCGTTGATGAAAATGAGGAAAAGAGTGGGGCCAAGGATGGAGCCTTTGCGTTAGTGGGATAGGAACTGGAGGAGAATCCGTTGAGAACGACCTTCAATTCTCGGTTAGACAGGAATGATTGTATTAGATCAAACAGTTGACCAGTAACACCATACCCCTGGAGCTTAAACCCGGCGTGCCAAACCCTATCGAATGCTTTGGAGATGTCGAGGGCCACAGCACGAGCCTCACCGTTATTTTGAAGGGCTTGGTAGACGGTTTCAGTGATGGCCATCAGCACATCAGCTGTATCTGGCGTAGCGAAACCATATTGCTTGTCTGAGAGCAGATTATGGGATGTGAGGTGATTAACCACTTTTGATTAGGGCTTGAAGACTTTTGCGAACAGGGGTAGGAGACTAATAGGACGGTAATTAGTGGGGTCAGAGGGGTCTCCAGAGTTCTTAAACACAGGAACAATGGATGAGGACTTCCAGCAGTCAGGAAAACATGATTCCTTGAGGCAGTAATTATACAGTTTAGAGAGGGCGGGTGCTAGCTCAGGCGGCGCATTTCTTCAGGACAATGGCTGGTATGCCGTCTCCACCACTAGCCTTGTTGGGGTCTAAAGCGGAGATAATGCCCAGTACCAATGACGGGGTTATGTGTAAGCCGCTCAGTAAGGCCTCAGTTCTAAGAGGGAAGTCTGGTATGGGAACACCGGTGGAATCGGCGTTGAATTAAATGAGAATTTCGAGCAAAGCATTCAGCCTTGTCGGTAGGGGAGGTCAAGACCTCGAACTGGTTGAATAAAGGAGGTATGGAGGGTTTTGATTATTCAGGACACTCTTGCAGACTCGCCAGTAATCTTTGGAGCCAAACTTGTGAGATGCAATACGTTCCTTCATTCAAGCAGCAAATATTGACTTAACTTCGTTGAGGACACGCTTACACTTTACGGGCAGAGGCAAAGAGACGTCTATTGCAGTCAGACATGTCGCTCACGGAATCGGTGAAAGAAGTGATTCCTGTGGGCGATGGCAGATGAGCAAGCAGCGGAGAACCAAGGGAGGAAGGATATTCCAGCTTTAACCCAGGATGAGACCTCAAGCACATTCTTGGACAGGGAGTGAAAAGACAACATCCCAGGGGACATCGCGGAGGAAGTCACGGAACGAGTCCCAATCCGCTCATTGATAGTAGAACGAGGTTCTTGTGATGGGAGGTTCCTTGCAGGGCGTGGAGTTGAAGGAAACGTTGACAGATACCACAGCGTGATCAGAGTTGCCAAGCGGGCAGAGCTGTGTGGCGCTACAAGATTCGGGGATGGAGGTAAAACACAGGTCAAGAAGAGGCCTTGCCTGCCAGGTCGAGGGCAAAAGCGCGGGGGAAGTCGACTATTTGCGTGAGGGATTGAGAAATTGAGAAGTTAAATGTTTGAATGCCAGCCCGGTCAGTAGTAGCATTCACGAGCCACTTGGTGTGATGGGCATTAAAGTCACCAAACACGAATATATGAGCAAACGGGTGGGAGAGAGGGCCTTGTCTATGCTGTCAGATATGCTATCAAGTATCCGACAGTCTTGAGAGGATGGAGAGCGATAGAGGAAGAAGAGATAGCTTACAGCATTGAGGAGAGATAGTCGGAGACACATGTACGACAGGTCTGGCGATTCGAGAGACAGCTCTCTGGCCAGGGGGAGATGGTCCTTGACGTAGACACCAAGGGTGGGTTAGAGAGTCGAATTTCTTTCAAGTTTTATTAATGAAGTTTGGTCTATACTTTCTTCAGCGACACATATTCTCCAGACAATACAAATGGATTTTCTGTTCATCTTCAAGGACTAATTCTTAAATCTTTTGTATTAATATTAACATCCACAAGTTTTTGCTACGGACTATATTCCTTTTGTCCAGGACAATCTTTGCTTCCTCCTTCATTAACATAACTCAGCCATTAAATCTATGAGATTTTTCAACTGCAACTCAACTTCTTTCATGCAGGATAATACCAAAAAGAAAAAAACTTGAACTGGCACTAATGTTACTGAGAACAAACTCAATCTTTCTTTGAGAAAACTACATCAAATACATGAATACTTCCAAATGATATTTTCTACATTAAATTGTTTACATTGCTTTTATTACTTAAGACTTTTTAGATTAATCATTTGCATAAACATTCTTTATAACTTGGAACAACTAACAAGCATAATTTGATATTTCTTCTCAGCACATCCTTGAAATCATTTATCCTTTTCGCATCAATATCTTTCGTATGTAGTTTTGCTTTTTGTTGCCAAAAATAAAATTTGCCTTTAGTTTAATCAAATACCACTGCCTTGTTGTTTTGTACTCAGTTTGTTGTCAAATTGCTATCTTCTGAACAATTTTGTTTGCAGACATTTTTTCTCCAACACAGCCAACCGCAACATCCATGCCATTGACAACTAGATTATATGGCCTCATGCGTCTATGCCACACCTAAACCCTACCATTAACCCAAAACAACTGAAACTATAACTAGTCAGGTCATATCAGAGTCCAATTTGTGATGTCACAAGCCCAGTTGCGACACTGTGTCTGGTGTTGTGAGGTTAACAGGGCCACCCTGATGGATCTTCTGCTTCGATATCCCACAAAAATTAAAAAATACTAAACTAGCTGGATATTTTTTGCCCTCCCACATTGAATGTGATTTAAGCCAATGTTGCTTTTCTATTACTGCAGACAATTCATGCTTGTCACAGTTATTAAGAACATGTGGTCAACCCACTACAGTGGCAGATAATTCCCTCTCTCAAGTATTCCCAGTACATGCATGACATAAAAGATCAAGGCATGTGATATGTCCCAACAATTCAAGAAAGGGAATATCCCATCTATGCTTCATCCACCATCATCTTTTCATTTGAATTATGATAATTCACATAATCTTACCACGAGCAATGTGGTTTTTATAAACTTATTTTTAAAATTTAGTACATTTGCTTACCTAAAAATCTCCATAGAATCAGGACAGTAGATAGTGATTGACATTGCATTTAAACTTTTAGAAAATTAAGGTTGACTGGAAAGCATTAAACCAGAAGAGAGTTCCACAAGATCCATAGAATAGTAAACATTTCTGTATGAGTAGCAGTGCACCCTGCAGGAAATGATTTTTATCTATCTAGAAACACGTATTAACAAGTGTTAAAAAAAAAAAAAAAATAGAGAGAGACCAATGAGAAGAGTATTTGGTAGAAGATCAAAAGTAATGTACTTTCAAAATGAGACATGTTTTTCCTCTTCTATATGATATAAGGAAAAGGAATATGTTTTTTTTAAAAGTTAATAATAAATAATTATGCAAAAGAAATGTACTCTTCCTCACACATATACAACAAATATTTCCTAAAATTATAAGTTCCTGTTTCCTTTTTTATTTATATATTTACTGAATATCCTGAGAAAGTAAAGGATTAGTAGAATGTTTTATCCTCACATATATAAAGTTGTGATTTATTAAAAAGTAGGTATTTGTGATGGTACAAAGTTAATTTTCTGCTTCTTCAAAATGAAAGGAAGAAAAGATTTATTCTTGGTTTAAATTTTCTTTCATGTTTGAAACTGACAAACATTTTAGCTACAGAAAACTTTATATTAATTTCAGGTATATTATTCTAAAAATATGATTTGCACAAGAGTGATCTCATTTTCAATTTAAGAATGTCTGCAAAAACAAGATGAGGATGGTGGGCATGGACATTGAGAGGTGGGAAACAGTCAACAACAACTTTTCACACTGGAGACATCTCATTTTAACAGATATAGTTACCAAAATTGGCTTCAACCAAGGCCTCCAAACAACTTCAGAATCTCCTGCAACTCTTCTGGACGGTCCCCTTGTTTAAGTTGATGAATCCTGCTTTAACCCTTACCTTCAGTTCATCTTTGGTAATACAAGGAATTTTCTTGTCCTCTTGTTCAACTGCACCCCACAAATAATAATCAAGGAGGTTGCAGTCTGGGGCATTGGTGGCCAGATGTAAGGAGTGATGTGGTCGCAGAAATTTTCTGACAGCCATGACTGGGTTTTCCTGCTTGTGTAGCATCGTGCAGAGTCCTGTTGCTAGACATAGGGTCCTCCAGCAGCCACCCTCTTAACCCAGGACAGCACTACCTCCTCAATGCACTTGATATAAGCCTCTGTGTTGAGTCTGAAGTCCTCGCTAACAAATTTGGAGTTCTTTTCTTATCAGAATGATCAGAGTTTTCTAAGCTGCCATACTTTTGTAAGCACCAGTAGACTTATCCAACTCTTTCTGAATCCTCTGCACTGTTACCAAAACACTCTGAAATGTTCATATTGAAGCCTCCTGTGTGAATGCCAAGCAGTACAGCATGTGCTTTCCAAATTTCTGGTGGAGTATATTGCATTTTTTTTTTTTTTTACAGATGGTGCCCAACTGACCCGACTGTACTGTGCAGTTGACAAAATCAAAAACAATGTGCATGTGCAAAATTAAAAATATAAAATGATGACAATTTATCCATGTGTATTCATTTTATGATTTCTTTCTCTTTGCAGTTGGTGGAAAAACTAATACGTTCAGTCAAGCAGGAAAAGCTCAAAATCCAGTGGTTAGACAACACAATAAAAGTAACAGGAGCATCTGTAAAAGATGGTAAGAAATTTTACTTATATTCCGATAATACATATATACATTCATTCATTCACACACATTTTCAATTTATTTGTTTAAATGTTATTTTTAATGGATACTCATATCTGTTTTTATTATTTACAACAAAAATAAACAGTATATTTAATTATTTATAACAAAATTTCCCAAAGAAAGAAGCTATTTATTTACCAACTACAAAAAAAAATTTTATGAAAGAAATTTACAAAACAAATTGTTTAGCATTTTTGCATAATTTATGTAACGATTTGTATCCACTTTATTTTATGTTTGGCTATGACCTAACCCTTGCTTTTAAATCTAAATAAATCGTTCATTCACCAGTAATTTACAATTGCTTGATGAGATGCATTGATATGCATCAAAACATGACTGCAATTGTGTAGCGATTTTTTCAGTGTAATATCCTAAAATAAACTAATACATATATATATATATATATATATATCCTCATGTATAACCAGCATTATTTAAACATGCATGAAAACTCCATTCACAGCATACCTGTAGAAACATGTAAAAAAAAAAAAAAAAAAAGTAAGTGAAGCACTAATAAAAAAAAAAAAAAAAAAAAGCCAACACTCAATAATATCAACTGTGAACCTGACCACAAGTGCCCATTGGAAAAAATATATATTCCCACCATTTGAGAAACATAAAATGTCTACACATTCAGTTAAAAATAAAAATTAAAAAATATCCTTGATAATGGCTAATAGAATAGCCGAAAATGCTTTGATATATAGAACATTTGGACAATTTTTAAACACTTTATGTCCAGAAAAGAAAACATTTCTAAATAAAAAGCTTAATCACAGTCATCTTTAGTGAAATTTATATATATATATATATATATAAGTTGTAGCCTCTGTCTGTCTGTTATCAAACTCCTCCTAGGGTTTTGGAGATAGACCCCCATAACTATATATATTCTGATACTACATTACCCTCTGATAAGTATATTTCATTTTGATCAGAGGGAGTCCCTATGGGGGCACAAACCCCCACTGAATTTTTTTTTCCTTTGATATAAATTAAATTTAAATTTCAACAAGAGAAATGACTCCTATCTAAAATATAGGAGAAACCCAGAAGATGGCGGTTATATCAGCAAGATCATTTTGATAAAAGTTGTCTTTCCTTCATGAATAAATTATGCAGACTAATTTCAGTAAAGAAAGAAGTGATCTGTTCTCATATAATTATGTTTGCAAGTTTTGTTGATGTAATAGCTGCAAGGTTAGGACAGTGGAAGAAAGTCTATGAGATGTCTGGTTTGATACCCTATGTAAAAATGAATTTTTAGTAGAAATTAGAATGTTACTCCAAAGTTGTTTCTCTGTGCTTTTTCTATAAATAGCTTTATGGCAACTGTTCGAATGATCTCTTCATTACTGAACCTACACTTGGTGAATTTATGCACAGTACTAGATTGGCAACAAGGTTTCATAAATTTACAGTTGAGTTGGCTAGATGTAACAATAAGTTCTCTGCTAACAGCTTCTTTTCTTGCTTGTAGAACTCACTTCCAGCTCCATGCTTTCCAGTTTACTTTAATCTTAAAAAGTCAATTGTTATCCATTGCCTTCCTGATTACTCTTCTATTGCTTTCACTCCTTAGTAATGTTTCTGCTTTCTAATTCTTCCACACCCAGTAACCTCTTGTGTCTTAGTGACTTTACTACCTTGCTTGGGGTGAAATCCTATTAAAAAAAAAAAACTCTTCTTTGCTTCAGTATTTAAACTTTCTCTCTTTCTTACACACTCAATGTACTACCCAAAGGCTCATTGAATGAACCAAATATACTGCAGACTTTTGCCACTACCCTTTCAGATTGGTATGTTTGGTAAGCCAAACAGCAGACAATCTGGGAAGTTACATTCTTGGGTTATGCATGCCTTTTTCTCAGGCTGTTTTTAGGGGCTTGGCAATTTTCATCTTTATCTGAAGTAGGTTTTAAGGAGTAGAGAATCTCTAGTTTTGTCTTAAGGAAGCATTTAAAGGTAACATACTAGAACAAAGCTTTATGTCTGAATTTCTGGGATGAGGAATTAACATTATTTACATTATTGTTTCCCTCTTCTTTGTTATCAAAACGTTTATGCTCTCCAGCCTTCATCAGGTGCGTTTTGATCTAGGTAACCTTCAGAAAATTTCAGGGTTAGATTGTTCTCATTCTGCTTCCCAGGTCAAGTGATATATTGTCTAGTTCTTATTTAATTGTATACAAGGCTATGAGGACCTCCTTAGTAAGCTAGCATAGAAATAAATATGAGAGCCATTAATAAATGAAAAGATGTGACAGCAAGGCTCAACAGCAGCAGAAGCTGCAGTAAAATGTGAAGCCTCAGTAAGACTGGTTAAATTTATGTTTTGCCACTCAGAACTGTCCTGAAAGACAAGTTTTGACTAGTGAGTTAAAACTGTTTCGTGAATTTGGTGGCATAGAAATTGTGAGTTGAATCCCTGGAAATAGAGTGAGCACTAATGAAGCAGTACTAAATAACAACTAGACAAGATATTCCTGGATTTGCAGCAGAACAAGAACAATGAAATCCATAAAATAACTAAAGGGACCAGTTTAAATTTACCCAAATTGACAAGCACATGGTGAAAGCTGTAGAGCACAATGGCTGAAACATTGAGATAATATCAACAAAGATGGGTCCACATTTAAATAATGTAAATAGAACAAAGCTTTTTTGTGGTACAAACTATACAAGTAAAAATGAACAACCATTGAAAATACTGATGCACCTTTTATATATACTGGATGTGCAGGTGGTGTAATGTTTAGCAACTAAAAATGACAAATCAGCAAGCAGAATTCAAGTCCCAGTCAAGTTTGTTATATTCACTTTCATACAAAAACCTTAGAGAAAAGTATTGACCTATTTCTACTGTCTCAGCTATGGGCTACATAATAGAGCAGAATTGGTTCTTTTGACTTGATTGGCAGCTAGTCTAGGAAAACTCTGAAACCTGAGGAGAACTGTAATGCGCACTTATATGCACCAGTTCTTTGCATTCAGTCCATTGACTGACTCACTCACACATATATATATATATATATATATATATATATATATATATATATATATGCGGTACTTATTGGAAAGTGCTTAATATCAGTGATAGAGCTAACATACTCAGTTGTATTGATGTGAGTTATATATATATATATATATATATGAAGAAAAAATATACGAAAAAAACAAACAAAAATCCTTATATACAATTATGCACATTACATTATCAATACAACATGACAAAGACGATGTACATAAAAACAAGACTTATCCAAACAGATAACTGAAAGTTTTATAAGATCAGCGCTCCGTTTAAAATATGGTCGCGTTGTCGTCACGTGGGCAACGCTGTGAAACGTCCGACGTTGACATATTAACATTAAAACAGCATAATTGTATATAAGGATTTTTGTTTGTTTTTTCCGTATATATTTTTCTTCATACTGTCGGATCTATATCCATATATTTGCTTGCATATATATATATATATATATATATATATATATATATAATGATATATAATTTTATATATCAGCAAACAGTATTTTAGAAAAATAGTGGCAACATCAACAAAGTCCAGTCTGATGAAATCCTAACAGATGAAATGTGTCACTTTTTTCCAATTTGTCATACTATTTATATATATAATATAATAAATATTTTCTTTTCTAAAAATATGTTTCCATCACAACACAGAAATTTCTTTGTTTCAAAACTGAAACTAAATTTATAAATTTCATAATAAAAATTAAGCTTAAAAATACAAAGTTTTGTTCCATTGTGAAGTGATGTTAGGAATAACTTTCTAAGAAATTTACTTAATTTATAAGCATGGACAATATTAATATTATGTTGTTGTTAGGGTTAAGGAAAATTCAATCTATTTTGATTAGGGGTGGTTGGGTATTAATTTCCCTAGCCAGCTTATGAATCCAATATATGTTACTTACAAAGTCAGGTTAAGTTTAGATGGAATGGGGGTCCCTGCTAACAAACACAGATATCTGTTATTTAGCAAGTTGTCTGGGTTTTCAATGACAAAAAAAAAATGTTTGGCTTTTTATTTATCTGTTTTTATACACAAAAATTTTCTAAAAGTGTCATTTAAATATGCGTAAATCATATTTTTAATATTTAAATTTTATTCCTACAGATTCAAAGTACTAATAGATTATACGGTATTTTTACAAATTAATATATTAGAATTTAATTACTAATTAATGACCAAATATATAAAAAAAAAAAAAATGAGGGACAAAACATACATTTTTATATTTGATCATGAAATAATGGATGTCTTTGTTAGCAGGCACCCCCACCCTACGTAAACTTAACCGTACTTTGTAAGTAATATATATTGGATACATAAGCTCTTTAGGGAAATTAAAATCCAGCTACTCCTAATCAAAATAGGTAGTTTTGAAACGTAAAAATTTGTTGTAATACAAAGAAAATAATTATATTTTGCTCTACTGTTTGTATTGAGAATTGTTTTTTTAAAAATAAAAATAATTGCTAATAACACCAGATTATAAATTTTACTGTTCTTTCTCATTATTTTAATATAATAATAATGGACTCTCCCATCGGTTTCGACGTATGAGGATCTGACAGCTTATTGATTCAGTTATGAAAGTTTGTGCGATAATCTTAAGGGGCCTTTTAGACCCCCTAGTGATTTACAAAGAAGGTCTCATATGGAGCAAGTGTGAGGATTGTGAGATGAGATCACTGTTAGATTGTCTGACCTTTTAGATCTTGCTCTCGCTTCTTGAAGATGATTCAGACAAAGAGATTGAAAATTGCTGAGTCCACTAAAACACGTTGATCTCCATTCTACCCGCTCCATATATATATAAGAAAATTTTTAAAATATTTTAAAAGTATGAAAAATCTAATAAATTATACTGCTCAATGCCCAAATAAGACAAAGTAATCTAAAATTTTAAGTT